TTTTCTGAAGGCGGGCAGAAGTAACAGCCAATCACCAGCAAGGTTTGTGAAGGGGACGTCCGGCTTGATCAGGGTGCTAAATGGGGCTTGATTTTTCAGTTCTATCCAGTTACTGTGACTGTAGAAATCCTGAAAAGAGCAAACAAGGGTGCTGGAAGTGTGTCCTTATCTACAGGCACCGAGAAGCCTGCGGTGTGGCAAAGTCAGTCATTTTGTTCATGTCTCACAAATGAAATGGACATGAAAATCAAAGGCTACAATCCAAAAATACAGTACGTACTGAAATCTTTAATCTTATACAATGTTTTCACATACAAACCGAAAGACAGAATAATAATCAGTTATGCACCTTCTTACTTTACTACTCCTATGGAAAATGGCACCTTATTTTACATACATCATTTTTAAATCTGTTTTTTGTCTTTGAACCTTACTTTATATTTGGTATTATAAGCTTTATTGCTTTAATCTTGTACTATGATACCCACATCTCACTCAATAATTTCCCCAAAGATAAACAAAGTTTTATCTAATCTAATCTTATAGATAAGCTATAGTAGTACAAACAGGAAACATTGTGGCTCACCTGCAAGGTGTGACATATTTTCCCCAGTGTTTCTCTTGCTGATGAAAAGCTCTCCAGTGTCACACTTTTTTTAACAATAGTCCTGCCCTGGGTGATAAGATTCCGACCTTCTACAAATGTTTCGTCGTCAAAGTGATACTCAGGGTCTTTCAAATGTGAACCGATATCCACCCTCCAGTTGCTCTTATAGATCTCCACGATAGCATCTTCAAACTTATTGCTTGACCGCAGGGAGGGGTCACTGCCTGAGGAACAGGCTGCCTGAACTGCATATGCCGACAATCTGCTGTCAATCTGTAACACAAGATGTAGAAAAACATAATCCATATAATGCAATATAAATCTACCTTCATAGCCCTTTATGTTAGGGTTGACAAACCATGCACTTTACATTTTTAAACAACAGGTTCAGAGTGCATTATCACGCTAATACCACGTTTACTAAACATTTTGGTTACACGTTTGTACCCAAAGATGCTATTTTCACATAAAAACCACAAATGTATTTATTGGTAGAACTACTTTCTACCACCAATGATTAAACATTTTGCCTAGATACAACCCAAGCCACTGTTATTCATTTGAAACCTGCCTATTGCTAAGATCATAAGCCAGACATTAGTTTGAAATTAATTTAATTCTTAAACCTATGACAGTAAAGAAAGGTTTGGGATAAAGTATCCATGCAAAGTTATTACTGTAATATTTGTGGATAATCTCATACATTTTTGTTTTGTGAAAATTCAAATGTTGTCTTCAGATACAATGTACAAACCAAATGTGTAGCTATAAGTGTTGGGTGGTTCTTGGTGTGAATTAACACTTACATAGTTAAAGTAGAGATTTAAATTGCATATTGATTTAATACTGTAATTCACCTGGCTGGCACTGTGTGTGCGAAAGAACATTAATCATCATGCTTTTGATTAATCAGATTTGAGAATTCAATGGTGCTATGGTATGAATAGAAATTAATCCCTGGTCTTGCTGAGATTTTAATGGTTGAGTAACCAAGACCAAAGACAGCATTTTTCTAATTATATGTGCCAGTCATGGTCTCAGAAAGAGAAACCAACATTGTTTTGCAACAGTGGAAACAGGTTGTTCTTGCTCGGCAGGTCTATGTAGATTTGTTTTGCATAATATTGTGTGAATGCTGAATTTTGTAGTCACTTCATACTTATCATTACTCTGTTCATTATTGTCTTTATTTGATTCACAGGTGTGCTGAATATTCAACCCCAACCATAACTAGTACTATTTCAGAGCCCTTCAGCCTAAGTCCCTTGTAACTACTGCAGTTTTGTATGGTAAACTCACCGTCAGGCTAAAGGGTCTCCCCTCCTTCTGCGCCAGGTCACGGCAAACCTCTGCCGTCTTACGCAGGATGGCCATCTCAGTGATATCAACGTGAGAGATTTGGCTTTGGTAGAATTTGAATGGCATGAATGTGTGGACCCCACCACACAGCATGACAGAGAGAGTGGCGATGGACAGCCATTGAGAGCTAGCCATTTTCGGTGTGTCTCTTCCGAATGTAAAGACTAACTGTATCTCTGTCAAAATGTTCACAAACTCATGGTTAACAGGATGCATTTGTTGAGACGTTTCAAACTGATGAATGATCCAAGCCAAGACACTTTCTATTAGATAGATAGATAGATAGATAGATAGATAGATAGATAGATAGATAGATAGAGTGAGGTATATTCAGGTATATGAGTGGCACTTTCTGCTGAGATTAATTAATGTTGTTCTGCAGTGACTCAGGCACCTGTGATTATATTTCATACATTGTAGCTGTAAATGTTACATTTATATTCAGTGACTTTAGACTAAAAGGCAGAATTTTTTGACTGTACTACTGTATGTACCTGCTGCGCTAATAGCTGCTTATGTCTTTAGTAAGCCGGTGACACACTTTAAATACTTAAATGAATGGAGAACCAATAACAGATTTTTGTTTTTACACAAAAGTACAGGCAATTCAAAGCTTTAATTACAAACCTCGTTTGTATGAATGACATGTCAAATATAGATGTCATTTATAGATATTAGTTACAGGTATAATACTTAAAATGATAATTAATTGGAGATGCATTGGGTGTATTTAGACTAATTGGTGTTTCTAAATCACCCACAGTGTCTGAAAACTAGAATACTCTTTTGTTAAACCATTGTGATAAATTTCATTTCATTATTTCATGCCAGACTCTTATCTATTAAAGAAACACTCACCTCTGTGGGCTGAGATTGAGCTCTGAGAATAAGAATCAGACGAAGCTTCAATGTGTCTCTAGGCAAACACCTGCTCTTACAGGAATCTGTGTCCTTATTAGTAGTTGGTTTCTTTTTAACATCAACTATGGGGGTTGTTTAAGGAAGTTAGAAGTTATGGGAGTGGCTTGATCTATTTATCTACTTGTACTGTATATGAGAGTCCCTATGTGTTGTGTCGGCTTGCGGGCGAGCGGAGAAGCAGGCAAGTCGAGCCATGATTGCAGGTAAACGAGGTTTTAATAGAAAAGCAAGGCAGACAGGGGAGCTCACAGCAACAACGTTAATGACAGACCGGGGGGTATTCCATGAAAGTAGCTAAATAAAGCCAGACTTACACGAAAAAGTGAGACTC